AAAATTCTATAGATATAAGCGATACTTTTGTAACTGTCTCCTGAGGCTAAGAATCTGAAACAAAGTTACATTTGTTAGAAGAATGGTGTTGAAAATTAAGTAGTTAAGTAGAGCTGCTTTAATTTGTATTTGTTTCAGGTGAAGAGGTAAAAAATATGTGGGTGAAATTGAGAGGCAGCTATAGAGATGCAGAACGACGGAAACGAAAATCTCTGAGAAGTGGGGCTGCTCCTCAGAAGATCAAGCCATGGAGGTTTCAGAAGCAGATGTCATTTCTGGAACTTTTTATGACAACTTGGCCACGAGAAGGAAATATAGTTACCGACAGCGATAACGATTCTCCACTTTTGTCGGTAGCAGAAACATTATCCCAAAGTATGAAAACACATGATATGGAAATGACATGTGAAGATGATGGGTCCGCACAACCTGATTCTGAAGAATTCTATGTTACTGATAGTGTAGCTAGTGATGGGGAAAGCAGCAGGGGCCCAGAAACATCCTTACCTCCAGTGATTAATTACACGCCGGTAGTTAGGAATAAAAGGCACAAGCAAGGCCCATATGAAAGGTTAAAAAAATGTATGCAACAACGGGAAGAAAGGGCAAGAAAACGGAGTGAAGAAAGAAAAAAAATACTGGAACAAAGCAGCACATTGGATGACCCGCTTTATAACTTTTACATGTCCATGTACCAGCTGACAAAACAGATGTCCCCCATCTACCAGCATAGAGTCAGAGCCCAAGTTTTTCAGACCGTATCCGAGGCAGAAGCAAGCATAATGAGCTTCCCATCACTCCCATTACGTCACACAGAAGAACGGCCTGAAAACCAGCAAACAATTTCAACTTTACCTAGAAGTTTCAATTCGAATTATAATAATTTAACTTAAATGATTAATTTTTGTGCAACGTAGTTTTGAGCAATATACGTTTTTTATTAGATATATTATTTTCGTCAATAAAATGTTTTTTAAATGTGCTGCAAAAACTAAAAAAACCCTTAATACGACGTAAAGAAGGCACAGTAAAACGAACCACTGTACCACGGAGAGGTTTATGTTTATGATAAGAAACTATCCGGTATATAAAATAACATGTTTATTCTACAATTTTACTTACTTTAAGAAAACGGCTAATTTTTCTTCACTGCCGATCGGCTTTTCGGCATTACTCCCATATGCTTCAATAGCTAATTTGATCGATTCATGAACTTCATTAAATTCAATTCTACTCATTCGTAGATAATTGTTGAAAACACTATCCGGAAATTCGGATATCACTTTAAACTGTCCATTCGAATTTCTTTTTGAGAAATAAAAATTATTCGGTGATTTGTACCTTTTCGCCACTAAGGAATAAATCAATATTTCCTCTTCCGCTTTACTATCTGACTCTGAACTTAAAGAATCTAAATAAATATATATACGCGCGTATCGGATCGCCTCATGCGCGTCGTACGCGTCTCAATTTTCGCCTAGAGCGTTGCTTAGGCTATGCTTAGGCAAGGCTTAGGCTAGGCTTAGGCTAGGCTGGCTAGGCTTAGGCTAGGCTTAGGCTAGGCTTAGGCTAGGCTTAGGCTAGGCTTAGTCTAGCCTTAGGCTAGGCTTAGGCTAGGCTTAGGCTAAGCTTAGGCTAGGCTTAGGCTAGGCTTAGGCTAGGCTTAGGCTAGGCTTAGGCTAAGCTTAGACGACACGAAAAAAAGCCTTGTTCTATGGTTCAAGCGCTCCTGGGGCCGCAAGCGTCACGGGGTCCTCGAGTTGCTCATCCCTGGTTAATGTCTAAGTAATGAATTTTGCAGCAGATTGTCGCATTTCATTGCAGCCTTGGTAAATTGAAAAAACTGATTTTTTATTTATAATTATAGAATTAACAAATGGTTAAGTCATCTATGGTTAAAACTGGAGTAGAATTAACTTGATCTTTTGAATGCCACCAAACGTAAATGTCCAGTGGATTAAGAGCTGGTGATATGGGTAGCCAGTTGTCCAATTCTATTGACCACTTACGACATTACCATTTATTTCATTTCTTTTTAGCCGGCAAATCGAACGTAGCGTAATTAATATTTAACCATTATCTTGTCGGTATGATTGCTTCGGCAAGGTATAACTGTCCCCATATTAATAATAATTGATTTAGGTACAAAAAAACTACACTACAAGAACGACTACTCGATTACTACACTTCGAACATTTCTAATTCAATATACATATGTATATCGATTTTATACTGTTTCATTAAACGAATATGAATTATTTTTTATTTGAAAGCGCTGAATTGTATTATTGTACTATTTTCTTTCGAACTAAATGAAGAATCGAAACGTGAATTTTATTTTATGGAAAAGCAATGGCGCATCATTTTTTATTTTTTTCAAAACATCCATTAACGTATTAATCCGGACAGCACTAACAAAAACCAAAAATTTAGTTTTTTGCAAAATCTGTGGTGATTGCTTTCAAATAATCGGTTAAATATCCACACTTGATTAATTTGATTTTTTCAAGCCAAGCCTAGAAAATTAAGGAAATATCCTGTATTAAGGAAATACAGGGTGTTTACTTACACCTTGTATGTCCTCTCTTTTCTCCGGCTTTCCTCTTATCTTCTTAAAAAATAGGTTTAGGAAGTGACTCGTGAGTTTTATAGTTGTGCGGTCCTTATATTCCTTTGCTCCTGCTTATGGGTAGGGTGATTAATTTAAACTTTACCTAGTCTTTCAATATATTATTGAGATTTATATCCGGTTAAATATTGATGCTGTTTTCCCCAACTTTATTAAGAAGTTGCACAAACCTTTATTTTACGTGTCTAGTTCACTATTATATCAATCAAAATCTACTTTCGATTTCTTTTTCAGAGGCAAGCTCAGGTGCAATACTCTCGAAATCTCCTATACTGAATTAATTCCTCAAGAAGCTCTCGAACCGTAAACTTCATTTTCTATAGGAGTTGTCGGTCAAATAAAACTACTGTCCAACAGTAAAAGCTGACTGCTCATATAACCGAACCAAAGAAAGATATCTAGGATTTAAAACAAAAAACTTAAATTCACTAAACATAAATACATAAATCACTAACAGAACCAAATACGCTCCATGGCTAACATTCAAAAGCAACGTAATCAGCAGAAAACTGCCGTCTACCGGCACTTCTTAAGAGCAAATTAATCCAATGAAACTAAACGACTCACGCAAATAACAGAACAATAAGTCTAAGATCAAGAACATGGAATGCTCAATACCGAATGTATGTGTTAGAGCCTTCTATGATCCACCACTGTCAAGTAAATAGTTTTTGGCTTTTAAAATTCCCGCTAGTGGGTCAATAGGTTAAGGATCGTAAAAGAAGGGTAAGGCCAAAATGGGCAGTGTGATTGGGTGCTTTCTGTTGAGAACGCACGCCTGTTTTTTGTAAAATAAAGTAGAGTTCAGTAGTTCCTTTGTTTGGAGTGATTTTGTCTGTTTATTAAAGTAGTTAAGCAACTTTAGCTTTTTATTTCGAACCGGGTTGTGAAGTTAAGACGGGTAGTTTTATCGGACACAACAGTATGAACGAAGAAAATCATGTGGAAAGGTTAATCTAAATGCTGAACAAAATGGAATAAGAAGCCCATAACTGAAAAATACTCAATCCAAGTTCCATTCAAAGCAACAACTCTACTCGAATATTTATAATTAGAGCGTCCTCATCGGTTAAAACAACAAATTAAAAAACATATTTTTAACTTTAACAGCTTACTATA